TCTGTGACCCTAATCTTATAAGGTAATAATGATAGAGTCACTTCCATTTAGGAAGGCACGAGAGGTTTTCCAGAGGAGGCAATGGCTAAGGTAAGATTTGTTAGAGAAACAGAAGTTTGTCTGGTCTAGGTTAAGTGGGAAATACATTAAAGGCTCTGCAATGGCAATATGCAAAGGTATGAGTTAGTATGTCTTAGAGAACAAGCAACAGGATATGTTACGGTACATGAACACATAGTTCACAAGAGAGGAAACACTGTTTATGTCTTTCCTCATTTATTAACTGGGCATTTTAGTAAAAAATTGTCTTAGCAATCTACATGAGCTCCCTATATATTAATATTCACTTACGTGTATTTATGACAAATAATTATTTGGTTTTTTTGGTTGTTCTTATTTTCACACAGCAAAATACATTCTTTTTTTGTTTATTTTGGTCCCTTTTCTAATTTTGGGTATAAAATGCATTTTTTATTTTTCATTTATAAATGTTCATTTAAGTTTTTTTTAAAAAGATGTTTCATCTTTCTTTTTATTCATTAAGAATTATGTTGGATAAATGGCATAAAATGAAGACTTAAATTGATTTTAAAAAACTAATAACAAAATAATCATGCTTTTACTAATGGGATAAACAGTTCAATTGATCTCCCTGGACATTTTTTTCCTACTAGTTATTTCTTCTGCCTGGCACACTCTTCTCCCAGAGAGCCCCACAGTTTATGTGTATACCCCTGCTTACTTCAAATCTCTGTATAATTTCACCTGGCACAGCCCAACATCTTAACCATGCTCTATTTTTCTCTATGGAATTTATCAGTTTCTAACATACTATATAATTTATTTATCATGTATATGTCCTGTCTTCCTTAGCATTTAGGATCCATAGGGGGAGTGATTTTTGCTGCCAATATCTAGAATAGGGCCTGTCACAAAACAGATACTCCATAAAGACAGGTTGAAAGATGTCTGTTACTTTTAAGTATATTTGCTATTCACAGACTTGATATTCTATTCTATTTTATTCCATTTTTGTGTGGCTTGATTTTAATATTTAGGTCTTTACTAATCAGGCATTTCTGTTATACAGTTAATTTTTTTTCAAAACTACTAAATATTTATTCCACTATTTATTAAATAAGCCTATACTAGCTTTTTAACCTAACTAGTTCCTTTGAGACTACTTTTCCAACTAAGCACTTCTTTCCCCTTCTACCCTATAAGTGAGTCTTTGAGAATAATTAACTGTAAGAGAAATTCCAGATTTGAATAAGATTTTGTATATCTGAGCTAAAAAAATTATTTTGATAAAATATTTTACAAATACAATCTCAGCTACAAGGTATCCAGTTATCATGTAAATAGTAGTTATGAGGAAAAGAAATAAATACTGACTTAATGTTACAGGGTAAGATTATTATCCCTAATTGACAGACGAATGCAGAAGTTTAGAGATTACTGACATGCCCAATGTCCAAAAACTAACATGTGGTAGAGCCAAGATTTGCATATGTCTATCTAGCTCCAAAACCCAGGTTTTCCCCACTATACTCATGGTTTTCAACAGCGACAATTTTGTTCCCTACCTATAAGAGAATATGTGGCAATATCTGGAGACATGTTTGGTTGTCATTAATGAGGGTAAGGATTGCTGTAAAACATAAATAGTATCAATGTTGAGAAACCTTGCACTATAGTGTCTTAGGACAAACTATTCATAGAGCTTTATTTAGTAAAAATTTTATATAAACCAGATTAATAGTAAATCTTGATCAATCTTGACTCTGTCACCTGGCAAGAAAATTAAGTTGTAGTCAGTTTTAAATAGTCTTATCAATATCTGAACCTTTGAATTTAGCAGACCACATATTATAAAAGTGATTCTCAAGCTATAAAGACTAAGTAAGCCTCATCATGCTTAGATTTATCACAATCACCTGATCTCAAATAGTCATGCACAAATCTACATCTTAATCTCCTATTTTTCTCATGAGCTCCAAACTACTTTTCAATTGTTTGCTGCATCATAAACTCAACATTTCTAAAATAAACTTACTTGCTCTCCTTTAGGAAAATTTCTCTTTATTTTAGGTTGCCTTTTTCTGTTTGGGATATATTATCCTCTCAGGGTCTAGAAACCCAGCCACCTTTTTGCCTCACTCTCAACCCTACAATCAATGAGTCCCCTCTAGTCTTCTTTAAAGCTTCTTTGTAAGAGCTACATGGTGCTACCTGGAGGCAGAGCCGAGTTGTTAAGAGGTCTGAAACTAGGCTGCACAGTTCTGAATCCTGGATTTCCCATAAAAGCTGAGTTACTTTTGGGCAAGTCACTTATCATTCAGCAACTGTTTCCTTAACTACAAAATTTAATAGTAGTACATTAAGGGATTCTGGAGAGGCTAAATGAGTTAACAGAAGTAAAGCAGTTAAGATAGCATCTGGCACATAGTAGACAATAAATATTAGCCATTATTAATTTTATTATTAGCTAAAAGTAAGGTTCTCTCAAGGGTTATCCTCTGAGAATGCAATTGGGAAAAAAATCAAGGAGTTAAGGGAAACATTCAATTTATTTTGGGCTAAATGGTACTGTAAGCACATCAAAAATAAATGTTTTAAATGAAGTGTCCTAATTTTTCTAAAAAAAATTTTTTTTTTATAAAAAAGCGATAAGTAAGCCCTTTAAACTACTAAGAGGCTCTATACCAATGTATAATTAAAAAGTTTTAGGAATCTCCCAAATACAAGCAAGGTGCTGTGGATATAATCACAGGTCAGGAGCATGACTAGACTGTGATAGCAACAAAAAAACTCCTTTATAAACAAACAGCATTATAAATTAAAAAGAGTGTGTTCCTGGAAAGAAGACAGTCTTCTTTCTGTAAGAAATGAACTCCAAAGACAAAATTTAGCAGTGTTGCCATCACTGTCTGAGGAAAAGTTGTTTCTGATCCCAAAAGGATCCTCGCCCATTGTAGAGAATAACTGTAGCTATATGATATTGGTCAGCTCTCCCCATCAAAATATTATCTTACTTGATATTTGGTTTTCTATTACATCTAGCTAGAGGAACAGAATGTGCTGATCACCAATAGTGAATATCTAATCTGCCTGATATTTATGTTTCTCAGAGTAAATTAATGATCCAAATGCTACTTTTGGTTCTTAGCCAGAAATAATCCCTGCTCTTCTAAAGCACTTTAATTATACTTCAATTAAAGCACTTATTTCCGTTATTCTGCCTCTTTATTCCCAGTTGTTTACATGTTTATCTTTTCCACCAGATTATAAGTACTTTAAAGTTTATGAGTAGTCCTTTTTTATTTTCCAATTTCCTCCTGTGAAAATTTAAGTTGACTCTTAAATGTTTGATGAATAAATGAATAGATGAATAATAGTATCATGTGGCTATTCTCTTCCTAGTAAAGACTGAACAGTATACACAAAGATCATACTTACCTTATTCTTTTCATTTTGAATAATTTCTAATAGCTGGTCTATGTGCCCTTCATCTATGCATCTTTGGCCTGCTAACTGAAATAGGCCAAAATCTTCCTCTTTAAAGTCTTGCTCTTCTAGGATTTGCTGGCAAAACAAAATAAAAACAAACATGTTTAGGCAAATAAAAAATCAAGAACTATTTGATTTATACATTTGTTTAAATTCTAGGTGAGTTGCATATTAGCATATGAATGAAAATTAGCATTAGCCTAATAAATACTTTAATGATCTTGAAATCCACTGTGTCAAAAAAACATGTAACGATAAGTATTAAAATTTTAAAGGTTATTTAGATGAGTATGTCACATGGAAATAATCCAATCTGCTTTCCTGCCCTCATGCTATTTATTCATAGGTCAAAAAGAGAGCAAGGACTAAAGAAGATAAGTAATTTGAGTGACTGCAAATGTAATTAAAAATAATCTATGTCCTCCCCATATTTTGAAAGGTATTTAACGTTACAAAAAGAAGAGAGGAAAAAATTACTTACACATCTCTTTATTATGGATTGAAGTTCTTCGACAGCCATTCCTTCTTATTTTTCTTAAGTTCTGACGCTGAAATGTACTAATGTGCACACTGTTAATATCGGAGATATTACATTGAAGTATTGTTATATTTCATTCTGAAAAATTCTTAGTAAATACAATAAAGAAAAAAGTTTTAAGCTGAAATGTTTTTACCGAAACTTACTAGTATGTTAGCCTAAGAAAATAAAAATTAAAAAAAAAAAACACAAAAAACTCCAGTTGTATCTCTTCGGTTTTCTTAAGCATAGTTTTGCTTGGGGTAGCTATCAAAGATATAACTGAATGAGAAAAAAATCCTCTAGAGCAATCCCAAGAGGACTGCAAACATGGACTAAGCAAAGTACATTACAAAGGCAAAGTATTTCATTTCTGAGAACATTTCCAAAAGGTGGGCCTGAAATCAGTTATAATCAATAGGGAATTTTTTATATTTTTATGTCCCACTTGACAAAATTGAAGTTAACTCACCAGGGGTGGTGAAAGTTCAAATGCCCTCCACCCCAAGCCTGACCTGGGCATTTCCCTTAAGAGATGCGGTCCCCAAAATTACTAATCCAGTGAACTCAACCGGGGGCCCTCAGAGGAACTGCGTCCCGTTACCGCAGCCCATCCTTTCTCTCGGCGTGTAAGCCCGGCCCCAGGCCCTCAATCGGGGCGCCCGTCGGGTCCTCACGGCAGCTCGCTCCAGGGCGGATAAAATCCAGCGCGCGTGCGGGCGGCATCCCAAGGAAGCCATTTCTCCCGATTCTGGTTCGCCTAGGCGTTCGGGCCCCAGCACGTCGCCGGGCCTAATCCACCCGCAGCTCCTCATCTCCGCGGCTCAGGGTCCGCCGCGAGTCCCGGCAGCTCGACAGCTCCCTCAGCGTCCACTTACCAACCGGGCCTACGGCCTATTCAGCGTCCTCCTCCACCTCCCCAGGCCACGCAGGCCGCTCTCCGGGCCCCGCCCCGGTCGGCCCCGCCCCTTGCCGGTCCCGCCCCTGCCAGCCCCGCCTCGCGCTACGCTTAGGGGAGGCGGAGCTTCGGAGGGAGACGCCAGGGTCTGTCCTCACCCTCTGACGACGCTCCCCATGGCTGAATCTGCTGGGCTGCCCTCGACCCGCCAAAAGTCTCGGTCCTCCCGCGCTTCACGAAAGCCTGCAGGTAGGCAAAAGGGCTTCTTCCCACGTTTGAACCTTCAGAACGAGCCCCTTACAGAGTTCCAGACACAGGCACGCGAGGCCCTCCCAAAAGGCTGCCCCAGGGGAGGTCTTCGGGACGGAGAAGGCCGGGAGCGCCCCACCATCGTCCTCGGGCCGTCTGGGAAAGACCTCCGGCCAGACCCACAATTCTTTAATGTTCCAGGATTGTTCCTGGAATGGACTGTGCTCCCGTCTTGAGGGAAAGGGCAGTAGAAGTCCGGGAGCCTACAGTTGGGGTCGTCAGAGTGGGCAAGTGACCAGGGCAGCGTCGGTAGGTCGTCTGCACCTGCCCTTGAACCTAGCGGCTACAGGTCCTCCTTCCATTCGTACTGCTGCTTTGGTGCCCCGGTTCCCTGAGGTATGGGAAACCTTCTCCTCTCTTACCCGGGAGTGAATATTTGGGGGACAGAGAGAAAGAAACCACAACTCAGATTTTCAGCAGTGTTTAACTCTGCAACTATGTTTTAAGAGAAAATTCAACCTAGAAAGAGATACGTGTTGACCAGGGACACTTCGGAAATCATTAATTTACAAAAACACATTGGATTCCCATTCCATTTCACCAGATTTACACACAGGATTGGAAATAGAATATATGGGAAAGAAGAAAAGATGGTATAGTTTGTTTGGACAGAAATCTGGCCTGTAACCTAGTGTATTTGGGTAAAATTTGACCTACTGCATTTTGTTTTTGTTTTTAATTTTAGGAACTAAACAGACAAGTACCTTGAAACAAGAAGATGCTTCTAAAAGGTATGAGAACTATTTGGGCAACTGTATTCACTTGGCTGTTTGTCTCCTATTAATTGAACTATATTTAAAAAAAATAATGGGTGCTACCTTAAAGAAAATTATGAGAAGGGGAAGATCTGGAAAGCACTATAAATTCTCACATAGACTGTTACATCCCCATACTCGATGCTTTAAGAAAACCAAAATCAGATACTTTTTGATAGCTGGTGAAGATTTAAGCATCTGTAGAAAGATCTATGGGAATAAACATTCCTGAACTAACCACATACTCCTTTTCCACCTTCTTGGACACGCTCTCCTTTTTTTGCTTTATATGCCAGAGACTACAAGAAACTTTTGCTTGTAGTTCTTTGTTTACATTATGTCTGTATTTTCAGCAGAAAGTTGTCCTATACTGTCTCTTGGCTTCTCCTAAAAGGGCAAGATGTATCTCTTGTCACAAAACTTTTTTTTTTAAATTTTATTTTTAGATCATGTTTATTTTATTACAGTTGTCTCAGTTTTTCCCCCTTTGCCCTCCTCCACCCATCCCACCCTGCCCCGCTCTCACACTGTCAATTCCCACACTGTTGTCCATGTCCATGAGTCTTTCATACATGTTCTTTGTCTAGTTGCTTCCCCTTCTCCACCATAGTCCTCCTTCCCCATACCCTCTGGTCACGTTAAGTCTGCTCCATGTTTCCATGCCAGGTTTTCATCCATTCTCCAGTTCCATCCATGTTGTCACAAAAAGTAGGAGTTCCTTCTGTTTTTTTTAATGCAGATTGATTTTCTTTATTTTTTTAAATGTCAAATTCCATTATAAAATATTAAAAAATTTAAATCCATTATAAAGTCTCAGAAATTCAAACAACATGACACCAGCACAGAAATAATCAAGTAGATCGATGAAATAAAATAAGCATTCTAGAAATGAATGTATATATCTGTCTAACAATGTAATATATGATTAAATTGATATTTCAAGTCAATGGGGAAAATAAGGCTTATTTAACAAATAAAGTGCATAGACCACTATTACTTGAAATAAAACAAATATGGAGCCCTATTTTACACATTATACAGAACATATTCAGGTGAGTTAAAAATCAATATGTAAAAACAGGAATTTTAGAAGAAAAATACAAAATATTTTTCTTACCCTGAAGTATTCAGGGTAAGACATATTCAAACCCAGAAGATATAAAGTAAGATAATTGACAGAATGACCATATTAAACATTTAAGACTATAGTATAATATACATATAAAAAAAGTTAAAGAACAAGTAATAGAATTGCAAAGTATTTGCAACACATCTAAAAAAGGGTTAATAGTTGGGGTTTTTTTTTTTAGGGAAAAAAATTCTACAAACATTTAGTCACAAATGGATAAAGATCACGAGAAAGTCATCTAAAAGCTTTTTAAAAATAAAAGAAATAGACAAGAAATAGACAAAATCAGGTTTAGATTCAACAAATAATAAAATAACAATTAAAATAACACATCATTGTCACAATCAGATTAACAAGTATTAAAAGTATTGGTAATATCAAGTATTGGTGACTGTGAAAGGAACTGGGTATTCATAGACTCACTTTCTTTATCTTCTTAAAGCAGACCCTTCAGCATATTTTGCAGTGCTGGTTTGGTGGAGGTGTATTCTTTTAGCCTTCTTTTGGCTGGGAAACTCCTTATTTTGACTTCCATTTTAACTGAGAGCCTTGCTGGGTAGAGCAGTCTTGGTTGCAGGCCTTTGCTTGTGATGACTTGGAATATTTCTTGCCATTCCCTTCTGGCTTATAGTGTTTCTGTAGAGAAGTCAGCTGCTAGCTGTATGGGGGCTGCCTTGTATGTTACTACCTCTTTCTCTCTTGCTTCCTTTAGTATTCTCTGTTAGTCTTTGATACTTGCCATTTTAATGATCTTTGATACTTGCCATTTTAATGATGATGTATCTTGGAGTGGACCTCATTGGGTTCCTCTTGAATGGAACCCTCTCTGTGCTTCCTGGACTTGTGTGACTTTTTCTCTCCTCCAGTTGGGGAAGTTTTCCATCATTACTTTTTCAAACAGGTTCTCTATCCCTTGCTTCTCCTCTTCTCCTTCTGGTATCCCTTTTATACGGATATTATTACGTTTCAGGTTGTCCTGCATTTCCCTCAATTCCTCTTCATTCTTTTTGAGTCTTTTTTTCATTTTCTCCTCTTTCTGGGAGCTTTTCTCTACCTTAACCTCCAGCTGCTGATTCGATCCTTTGCTTCATCTAGCCTGTCTTTGATTCCCTCTACTGTGTTCCTCAATTCAGAAATTGTATTCTTCATTTCCTCTTGTCTCTTAATGGTAGTTTCTATGTTCTTTTTCATGCTGATATAGTTTGCAGTAAGTTCCTCATAGTTTCCCTGTAGTTTTTGGTAATTCTCTCTGAGCTCACTGGGTTCATTGAGGTTCCTTAGAACCTTTGTTTGGAACTCTGTCATATAGTTTACTTGCCTCTATTTCATTTAGTTCTTTTTCCGGGGATTCTTCCTTTCCCTTCAGCTGGGAGGTGTTTCTTTGCCTTCCCATTATTTGTGAGGCACTTCTTTTTTGTGAGACAATTCTTAAATATTGATCTGTCTTGATTTCCTGACCTTGTAGTGTGAACTCCTGTGGTGCGAGACTGCCGTTTTTTTACTTTCTGGATCTGCCTCTGATGATGTCAGATGTTGACTCAGCCTGACTTTAGGCAGTCTGTTTGAGACTTCTAGGAATCTACTGTCTGTGGCTGTCTCCTTCATTTGTTAATCTAGTCACTCTGCACTCAGCAGGCCAGCTTAGAGACACCACAGGGCAAGGCAGAGTCCCTCCTGTGGGTGGTGTTATTGGGTCCTCTCTCACTGCTGCCGCTCAGGGGAATGATCTGCCTGAGCCAGATGGCTGCTGTCTTATGGGGGAGGAGTCAGCACTGGCATCCCGCCAGCTACTCTCTCTGTTCTCTCCCAAAGCCTCCATCTCCAATCTCTCCTCAAGTGCCTCTAAACCACTCTGCGCCCCTTTTAGACAGGGTTCTACTATCTGTGGCTGCCACTCTGAACTCAGCAGTCAGGCTATAGCACTACTGGGCCAGGGCTGAGTCCGTCCTGGGGGTGGGGCTATTGGGTCCTCTCAGGATATTGCCACTCAAGGGAGTGATCTGTTTGAGCAAGATGGCTACTGTCATATGGGGGAGGAGTCAGCACTGGGATCCTGCTGATTATACTCTCAGTTCTTTCCCCAAAACCTCTTTCCCCAGTCTCTCCTTAGGTGTCTCTTGCCCACTCTGCCCCTACGTTTGCTGGAGACCAGGATAAGTGGCTAAAAATAAAAATTTATGCATTGACCCTCTAAAAGGCTTTTTGCATCTCCAGCCTCCTGTCTCTGGCAGAGAGCAATCCTGCCACTTTTCATAGCTGGTTGTTACCTGTGTACTTTTTGGGCTCTGGTGCTGTAGGCTGGAGATCTCTGCTTATGGTTTAGACCTCGCTCTTCTCAGGGGATCCAACTGGCCATTTCAATTTCCTTCTTGCTCTGCTGCCCATGGGTGCCCCACCTGTCTTCTCATGTCTCTACCACACTCCTTACCAGTTAGGTTGTGCTAATGCTGATTCTTCTGTCTGTCCAATTTTATATAGCTCTTCTCTCACTATTGTTCAGTTGTTTGTTCCAGGTGATTTCTCCACAATTTAGTTGTAATTCCAGATTAGAATCCCAGGGGAGGAGGTCAATGTGACTTCTATTCACTCCTCTGCCATTTTGATTTCTCCCTGATTTTTTTTGATGGGAGAACAGATTTTTGCTGTTCTTTGATCATAACTAAACTATTCCTCTGTCTGATGGGAGAACAGATTTTTGCTGTTCTTTGATCGTAACTAAACTATTCCTCTGTCTGGAATGACCTCTCCCTTCGTAGTTCCCTAAAAAATTCCTACCCATCCTGCAAAGGTCTGTGCATGAACCATGCAAGTACATCTGCCTAGCACCTCAAACCCTTGCTATTCAAAATGTGGAGCTTGTTAAAAATGCAGAATCTCAGTCCCTATTTCAGACCTACTCACAAAAGATTTCTAGAATAGGAGTGGTCCATGAATATGAATAAAATAATATGTATCTATGATATTTTATGAAGTATTGACTTTGGCCTTCAATTACCTCTTTTTTCAAAAATTATTTACTTAGTATAAGATATGCTAGACCTGTTAGGCCCTGAGGATATAATTTTGAACAGAAAGAGACACAATTCCTATTTAGAGGAATAGAGAAATACCAATTATGGTATCACAAATAAGTTCATAATTACAAATTGTGTTAAGCGGTATAAATGAACTCATAACCAGAGTCTAATTTATTTGGATGTTGGCAGGAATCCTTGGTGGTGGATTTTCTAGGAATTGCTTCTCAGAAAGTAATAAAACTGAAACCTGAAGGCTAAGTAGTCATTAACCAGGCAGAGTACTGAGGAGGAGAGAGAGAGCTCCAGCTAGAGATGGCAGTATATGTGACAAGATTTGGTCATTTAAGAAAATGAGAGATTCCCAGGCTGGTGTGTAACATTCTGAGCAGCAGGAAGAAAAGAGCATAGGACAAGGCTAGAAAGGCAGGATTCCATTTATACAGTACCTGGCTGTGGTGAGAAATGTAGGTTTTCTACATGCAAATGGGAAAACTTTAATACAGTAATGGGAGTTAAGTTTAAAAAGTTAAGATGTTAAGGGTGATTATCACCTGGGATGGAGAAATTGGGTGGATTTGAGATATGTTTTGGAGAATACAAGCATACCTAAGAGATATTGCAGGTTTGGTTCCTGACCACGGCAATAAAACAAGTTGTAATCTTTTTATTGGTGGGGGGTCTTGCCTTCAATTTGTAAAAAAATGCAACATCTGTCTAGTGCAATAAAGTGAAGGGCAATAAAGCAAGGGATGCCTGTATTTCCCTGTAGAACAGTATGATTATATTGACTTCTCTTTAAGAAATATTACGACTCTCTTCAACATTGATCTGACCACAAACCTAAGGAGGTAATATTTTATTTTGAGCCCTACAATTTGCCGAATGTAAATAAGCTGAAATGTATTTTGAGCAGATCATCCAAGATGATGAAATAATTAAAAATCCATGTGGGTAACCAAATAGTTGTTGAGGGGAGTGATCCTTTATAAATTTATTCCAACTGCAAAATAATTCTACATTCAATCCAGGTGAATACTTTTAAGCTATAAATTAAAGAACTTGGCAAAAGTACTTAAAATTCCACTCTTAATACTAAATTTTTTACTTAAAAATATATTAACATGTAATGGGTATATTAAATAAATGCTTTAGAAGTTTCTCACTTTTAATCTTAATGTGGTAAATATTGGCAGATATAATTTACATAAACAAAAGCTCTGATTTTAAGAATGTAAAGGAATGCTGAGACCAAAAAGTTTGAGAACCACTGCGGTATACCACGCTGCCTGTCATTATTTCTGACAGAGGGCAGCTGTGAGGCGTGGCTAGCCATGGGAAGCAGCTGTAGGTATCCATCAGTTAAGAAGAGTGTGGCTGTTAATTCAGGTTGAGATAGTTAACGATTAAATGAACAATTCCTAATGCAGGTTGTGTACTGATCTTAGTACATGACATAACTCTTATTGGTAGTCAGCAAAAAAAGAAAAATGAAATAGTGTTTTTCATAACGCTAAATATAGTCAGTATAAAGAACTGTCTTTTAATCTGTGTTCATGTCTTTTACACTTCTTTGATGTAAGCATGGCCTTTATGAAATGATGGGAGAACAGGTGTTAGCTGTGAAGCTATTCTTGTTTTAATGTCCTTACTTGTCACTGGTTAGCAATCCTGTGTCAGTCCTACAGATTGTTTTGTAAAACACATTACTCCAGGCAAGGAATTGGAGTATAAAGTTTTGAAGGAAGGGAGAAAAAGGAAGTTCATCCTAGGTCCATATATTCGAGCCATATCAATGTCCTAGAGGGCAGCAAAGTTTGTTCTAGTAGGAAAGTGCAAGAAAGGAGCAAATATATCACCAGGATAATTGGTATCTTTATCCTGTGGCAGTGATTCTCAACCATGTTGCACACTACTACTCTAGAATACTTTCAAGAAAACACTAACAACCAGGTCCCATCCTCAGAGATTCTGATTTTATGAGCCTGAAATCGGACCTGGGCGCAGTATCTTTTTGAAAGAATCTCATCAGATGACACTTCCAGTCAAGATGGAGACTAGGTAGATATGCTTCCTCGCACAACCAAAAGAAGGACAACAACAAATTTAAAAACAAAAAACAACCAGAACTGCCAGAAAATCAGACTCTGTGGAAGTCCAACAACAAGGAGTTAAAGAAAAAACATCCATCCACTGAAAGGAGGGACTGAGACGGGCAGCTAGGGCAGAGAGGACTTGTGGCAAAGCAATAGACCACACAGGTGAGGCTGCGGCTGGCACACCGGGTGGTCCCACATTCGTATATGGCTGCACTGGGAAGAGCCACTGGGGAGTGATACAGATGGTGCAACCCAGAGATATTATTAGCTCGGGAAACTAAAGCCTCAATATCTCTGGCTATAAAAATCTATCAGGATTGCAGCTGCAGGAGAAACTCCCAGCCTCACAGGAGGGTCTGTTGGAGAGGCCCACAGGGTCCCAGAACATACACAAACCCACCCACCTGGGAATCAGCATCAGAAGGGCCCAATTTACTTGTGGGCAAGAGCTGAGCAAGCAGCATTGTTCCCTCCCAGTCCCCTCCCCAACATACAGCATCACAACACAGCAACCTGGGTTGCCCTGCTCTGGCAAATACCTAAGGCTCAACTCCTTACAAAACAGGTGCACTGAGACAAAGAAATATGGCCCAAATGAAAGAACAGAGCCAAACTCTAAAAATAGAACTGGGCAATGAAGAGGTAGCCAACCTATCAGATTCAGAGTTCAAAACACTGGTAATCAAGATGTTCACAGAAATGACTGAGTATGGCCACAAAATGAAGGAAGAAGTAGAGGTTCTGCAAAGTGAAATAAAGAAAAATATACAGGGAACCAACAGTGAAGGGAAGGTTTATATTTTTTGTGCTCTGGGTTCTGGAAATCAATCTAGTTATTGTGGCTGACTTGCTATGTGTTCAGTACAACAAGTAGCTTGTTTCCTTTTTGCAAAATACTAGATCAAACATAACATCATTCAAAATGTAAATATAAGTAGCAAAAGAGTAAGTTGTTAGTGTTGTATTTTAAAACAAAAAAAGTGGCTATGATAAAACTTAAAAGTATAATACCTTTTAAATTTTTAATAATTCTTTTTTTAATTTTAGGAAAGCAGAACTAGAAGAGACTCTGAGGAGGAAGATTAAGTTTGAGAGAAAAGCTCTGCATATTGTTGAACAGCTTTTAGAAGAGAATATTACAGAAGAATTCTTAAAAGAGTGTGTATGTGTTGACAAGTTATTACTTTTGTAGTAGAAAATCTTTTAATCTGTGCAACATGAAACTTATTTGCATTATTGAAATCTTTGACTCTATTCTCAGTTACCATATGCAGGTAACATGCTATATAATTTGTGCACTTTAAAGTGATCATTTATGCATTCCTTGTATAATGACTTTAAATGCACTAATGAAAAATAACTCCCCTTAGTAGTAGTTGTTTTAATCAGTCTGCTAATCTCATTTGGTTTTCATCATATGCACTAATGATCCCTGTGTTATTTCCCATATTCTGTATGTTGTCCAATTTCAGTAACAGAAGATTTTTTTTGTTAATGTAATTCCATCAGTTGGATATTTTTAAAATAAGGATTGAAAAACAATTTTTTAATTTATTGATTTTAAAAGAGAGGGAGGGAAGGAGAGAGAAACACTGATATGTTGTTCTACTTACTTATGTATCATTGTTTGATTCTTGTATGTACCCTGACTGGATATCGAACCCACAACCTTGTCATATCAAGATGATGCTCTAAGCAACCAAACTACCCAACCAGGGCTGGATATTTAAAAACCTCCAATATAGATCCTTTATGATTTAACAAACAACAAGAAAATTATAATCTGCATTTTTTTTTCTTAAACAGCTCTATTGCAGTAAAATTTTGAATGGAAATTTCTATTATATAGTCATAATCATTTAGAGAAAAAAAATTAAAACTTAGGGCTTCTATTGCAAAAGTAATTCTTGTGTGGCTCATATTTTTCTAAACAAGAGGAATAGAAATATAGTATTTAAATTGGTATAGGTAACTGCATCAGAATCTGCATATTATGATGATCCTAAAGACAAATACAAACCAGAAATGCTTCATTTGAAAAAAGTACCTTATAGCACTCTCAATAAAAAATTTTCAGTTCCTTCAAAAATGGGAAAACTTCTTCAAAAATAATCTCAAGAAGTGGAATTATTTGAACAGGAAGGTATCAATGGAAAAAATTTTGTGTTAACTTATAGCTATCACTTCACCTTTCCCCTGTACAGTTTTTTCAGAAGCTGGAAGATATTGTACAAAAATTTATACAGGAGTTACAGTAACATTTTTTACACTTTGCTTTTTAAGATCGTGTTTTAAAAATAGGTAAAATTATATCTTGTTATTTTATGTGGTTTATTTTTTATATAATACTTTTTAAAAATAGAATAATACTGTCAGTATTGCACCATTTCTTCCTTCTGCCTCAGAATTATTTCGTGAATTGTATAATCTACAAAGATGCATAGTCTACTGTGATAGAAGTTTTTTGTTTTTCTTCTTTCTAAATAATTGCTAACTTTTTTCATTACTCACTATGTGTCAAGAGCACTTTTCTAAGTTCTTTTTCTATATTTTTCTCCTCTGATTCCAACATCAAACCTATGAGATAGGTACTGTTATCGCTGTATTTTCAGATGAAATCAACTCTTTTCAATAATCTGGGTGGGAATGTCCCTTTTATTTCATTACAGGGGAAGTTCATCACACCTGCTCACTACAGCGATGTTGTGGATGAACGTTCTATTATCAAGCTCTGTGGTTATCCCTTATGTCACAACAAGCTAGGAATTGTAAGTAAATTTTTAAAATATAGACTTAATTTTTTATATGTAACAAAATACTTTTTAGAAAGAACAAAGAGTGAAACTGAAGTCATGAACTCATGATCTCATATGGTATTATATATCATAATGATATGATATATAAATAACTTGTAACTTAAGTTTAATTTTATTACTTGAATTCTTTTGTAAGATGTACTTTCTTTTCTTTAGGTACCAAAACAGAAATATAAAATTTCTACAAAAACCAACAAAGTCTATGATATTACTGAAAGAAAGGTAAGTTTAAAGTTTATTTTTAATTTGGCAATTAATTTTTATTATTATACTAAATGAAATTCTAAAAATATCTTTAAAATCTTTTAGAAAACAGTCACACTAAAAACTTTGTAGGCATTTTGTTCAAGGTGTTTTAAAACATTCTTTCTTTCTGCTTTAATTACTATTTGAACATTTAAAAATTAAGTGTTTATTGGCACAAATTAAGGTAAGTAAATCATGGAACAGAATAGAGAAGAAGAAACAAACTCATCACATACCTGGACATTTGATATATGACAACAGGAATATTATAGATCAGTGGAGAAAGGATGGATTACTCAATAAATAGTACTGACACAATTAATTATCTATATGTAAAACATGAAAATTTACCTCTACCTCAGCGTACATACAGAGATCAATTTTAGATTAATGAAGTACCTAAGTGTAAAAGACAAACTTTTTCAAAGACAATATGAGAGGCTTATCTTTATAAACTTGGACTAGAGAGAATTTATTAAATAAGATAAATTATAGACTGTAGAAGAAAAACTGATAAATTTTCCTACATTGAAATTAATGTTTGCTTATTAGAAGTTTCAAAAAAAAGAGTGAAAAGATAAGCTCCAAATCAGGAGTTATATTACTACCATATCTGACCACAGGTTCATAACCAAAAAATATAATCTATAAGAAAAAGATATATAACCTAACCTTAGAATTTTATGAAAGAAGCTTGAATGAAAAGGTGATCAACCTTAATCATGAAAATAGCAAATAAAAACACATTTGAGGACTTCTGGCCAAGATGGAGGTTTAGAGAGATTAGACTTGGCCTCTTCGCATAACCAAAAGGACAACAACAAATTTAGAAACAAAAAACCAGAACTGCTAGAAAATTGAATTGTATGGAAGTGTCACAACCGAGGAGTTGAAGAGGAAACATTCTTCCAGACTGGTAGGAGGGGTGGAGACAGGCAGCTGGGGTGGAGAGGACTTGTAGCAAGGCAGAGGCTAGAGGACTGGGAAGTCCCACACTTGTGTGCAGATAAACCAGGAGGAACAGCTGTGGAGCAAGACAGAGCAAGCAATCCAGGGCTCCAGTGCAGGAAAAGAAAGCCACAAAACCTTTGGCTGTAAAAACCTGGGGCGGGGCGGGGTGTGTAGCAGCGGGAGAAACTCCTAGCCTGACAGGAGAGTTCGTTGGAGACACCCACAGGATCCCAGAACACACACAAGCCCACCCACCTGGGAATCAGCATCAGAAGGGCCCATTTTGCTTGTGGATAGCAGAGGGAGTGACTGAAAGCAGGCCAAGAGCCAAATAAGCAGCATTGTTCCCTCCCCGACATACAGCGTCACAACACAACAATCTGGGTTGCCCTGCCCTGGAGAATACCTAAAGCTCTGCCCCTCCCAATGTAACAGGCACACCGAGACAAAGAAATATGGCCCAAATGAAAGAACAGATCCAAACTCAAAAAATAGAACTAAGCAATGAAGAGATAGCCAATCTATCAGATGCAGAGTTCAAAACACTAGTAATCAGGATGCTCACGGAAATGGTTGAGTATGGTTGCAAAATGGAAGAAAAAGTGAAGTCTGCAAACTGAAATAAAGAAAAATATACAGGGAACCAACAGTGAAGGGAAGGAAACTGGGACTCAAATCAACAATTTGGAAGAGAAGAAAGAAAGAAACATTCAGCCAGGACAGAATGAAGAAACAAGAATTCAAAAAAATTGAGGAGGGGCTTAGGAATCGCTGGGACATTTTTATATATTCCCAACATCTGAATCATAGGAGTGCCAGAAGGAGAAGAGGGAGAGCAAGAAATTGAAAACTTACTTGAAAAAATAATGAAGGAGAACTTCCCCAATCTGGCCAAGGAAGTAGACTTCCAGAAAGTCCAGGAAGCCCATAGAGTCCCAAAAAAGTTGGACCCAAGGAAGCACACACCAAGACATATCATAACTACATTACCCAAGATTAAAGACAAGGAGAAAGTTTGAAAAGCAACAAGAGAAAAGGAGACAAGTTACCTATGAAGGAGTTCCCATAAGTCTACCAGCTGATTTCTTAAAGGAAACCTTGTAGGCAAGAAGGGGCTGGCAAGGAGTATTCAAAGTCATGAAAGACAAGGACCTGCATCTAAGATTACTTTATCCAGCAAAGCTATCATTTAGAATGGAAGGGCACATAAAGTGCTTCCCAGATAAGGTCAAGCTAAAGGAGTTCATCATCACCAAGCCCTTATTATATGAAATATTGAAGGGACTTATCTAAGAAAAAGAAGATCAAAAACTATGAACAGTAAAATGACAACAAACTCACAGCTATCAACAACTGAACCTAAAAAAACAAAAACAAACTAAGCAAACAACTGGAACAGGAAAAGAATCACAAAAATGGAGATCACATGGAGGGATATCAGTGGGGAGGTAAGGGGAGGGGAGGAGAATGGGGGAAAAGGTACAGGGAGTAAGAAGGATAAATGGAAGGCACAAAATAGGCACGAGGAGATTAAGAAGAATATAGGAGATGGAGAAGCCAAAGAACTTACATGTACCACCCATGGACATGAACTAAGTGTGGGGTATTTTTGGTGGGCGGGGGGATGCAGGGCAGAGGGGAATAAAAGAGAGGAAAAAAGAACACGTTTGAGTTGTTTTCACAACCCCCAAATTAACCAAATTATAAAAGTTGGACAGTATTAGTAACTGTATACTGCTGGTCAAATAAAAACTGGTACAACTTTGAGAAACTGTTCTGCCATTATCTAGTAAAGCCAAATTTGCATATTTCTATGACCAGGACTTTCTATTAGGTATGTATGTGAAGTAAATTCTTGCTGGTGTACACAAGTACATAAATATATATGAATATTCTTAGATAAACAAAATACTGTATTGGCATTAAATGAGATATTTACGCCTAAAAACTTAAAAAGGAAGGAAATTCTGACACTTGCTACAAAATGGATGAAATTTAAAGACCTGTTAAGTGAAACAAGCCAGCACAAAAGGACAAATACATGAATCCACTTATATGAGGTAACTAGAGTAGTCAAATTCGTAGAGACAGAATAATGATCGTCAGAAGAGGCAGAAATGGCGAGTTATTATTTAATGGGTGTGGACTTTCAGTTTTGCAAGATGAAGAGAGTTCTGGTGGGGGATGGTGGTGATGGTTGCACAGCAGTGAGAAGATATCTAATGCCATTGGACTACACACTTAAAAATGATAAAGGTGGTACATTTTACATATTTTACCACATTCTTTAAAATTTTAATAATTGTAAAAAGAGTTAATAGTAACACTGTAGTAATAGCAAAAAATATTAGAAACAACTCAATTGTCCATAAACATTAAATAAAGTGTAGAGTACTTACACAATGGAATGTCCTACACAGTGTAAATGAATAAGCTACAGCTTTGTGAATTAATCTCAAAAAACAATGGAACAACAAACAACAAGAGTATATAACAATATAATTCCATTTAGGCAAAGTTTAAAGGGCAAAAATGAGTTACAGATTTTATAAGACTGTATAAGGCCTGTCTGGAAAAAGTCCAGCCTTTGTTAATGTAACAAGAATGGTTTACCTGACATCAGTGTAACCTGGCAGCCAAGGAGAGTGGACTGGAATGCACAAGTGTGAACAATGATGACTTCACTGTACTAGTCAGTGGAGGCAGTAGTCACCTTGTGCAGAGTTTCTTGGTGAAACATCAGCTCACTCAGGTCACTCAGACTCTGTCCAGCCCAGATTTGGTGCCCTGCGACTTCTGACTTTTCCCAAAACTAAGATCACTTTTGAAAGGGAAGAGATTTCAGAGCATCTATGAGATTGAGGAAAATAACTACAGGGCTGCTGATGGCAATTGGGAGAACTGTGTGAGGTCCCAAGGTACCTACTTTGAGGCATCATTGTCATATGGTACAATGTTTCTTACATCTTGTATTTTCTTCAATTTTTTATGTTACCTGTTTGCATACCTTCTGGACAGACCTCGTGTATATATGGGTAACAAAACTAAAATAAAGTAAGAAAATGAGTAATAAAATATATGGTAGTGGATACGTCTTGGGAATGTGGAACAGGATGCCATCCGGCGGGGTCACATGGAGGCCTGCAATAGTACTACACCTTATTCCTTACATTGGGATTCATGGGTTTCATTTTTTCTTTGAACTACATATTTATATTTTATACTCTCTTCTGTATATATGTTGTGTTTTTCAATTTTTAAAAAAAAAATAGTTTTAAAATGGTATTTTTTTTTTCAGTGTTTTTGCAGCAATTTTTGCTATAAAGCATCTAAGTATTTTGAAGCACAAATTCCTAAATCTCCAGTATGGGTTCGAGAAGAAGAAAGGTAATTTAATCATATGTTTGTTCATATATTCTAAAAATTTCTGCTTTTTGAGATACGCAGAGAATAATAGGTCTAGTCTTTTTTGGAACATTACCTCTGTATATATTTTAATTGTGGGGAAATGGTTATATTTTAAGCAAAGCTATTAAGGATTTTATACCTAAAATCAAGATATTAATACTTATAGATGTTACTTGTTTGCTGTTTTAGCTTTAATTACAAAACCTGAACTTTGCTTCCTGTTGGAGCAGTTATTTCTTTTTTTTTAATATATTTAATTGGTTTTATTCAGTGATTCATGAATTAAGCATCATCCCATCTAGTGAATAGAAAAGTGCTCTCAGCCAGTTATTTCTTTTAATATTTCTATTTATTTAATAGTCCTGGAGTGTGAATGTTACATTTTCTCAGAAGATTCTGGATCTTGGGCTCCAACTCAACTCACTTTGTTGTTAGGAAACTATGTACTAAGATTAAAAAGTTTAGATTACTAATTTGTTCAATCTTTATTAAAAATCAGTACAATATTTTATCATTTAAAGAATCCTAATTGAGTCACTTTTAGCAAAATAAAAGTTTATGGACGTTCCTGGGATTTTGCCTTGGGAAAATATTTTAACTTTTACAGCATTTTAGTAGTTGCCAAATTTGAGAGAAAATTTATTATTGCGGAGCAAATAGCCTAATCTTGTAAAAACAGTAACAAAAATTACTGTTATTTAATTAAACTATATTGTCTAGAAATTCCAAACAAAGGCTTAAATTAATGAGGTAATGTACCAAATAATTCATGTTGGTAAAGAATATTATAACAACACAAGGCAATGTTATTTGTAATAAAATAGGATCTGTGCTAAATAAAGTCAGTGATACAAATGTACTGAGATACAAGCTGATGAAAGATCTTTGCCTATAAAACAAAACTCTCAGTCTTATCTGATGCAAAGTGTAATATACTTCTGTATATTCAACTAGCATTAATTGTACTGATGACAGTATCTTTGTTGGCAGACACCTTTGCCTGATGATTTATTCCTGTGTGGTTTAGAATATGTAAAACATATATGGCCTTTGTTATTTGAATTAAATGTAAGGGAGACTAAATTATCCATATCTCCTATTTAACTTTCTTGTTTGGAGGATAAAAGAGTGTAGCATTGTCCAAATTGACTGGGAATCTGCGAGCACCTTTTAAACTTTTACTCTTTTTCTCCTTTTCTTAGTATTTCTTTCACCACAGCCGCCTCTTGTCTCAGCCATATGTCAGCAACATACTCCATTTCGCACTGTGTTAAAACCGGTACTTGACATTATCCTTAACTTTGCTTCCAAAGATATCTTCTCTACTTCTTAAATTTAGCCCTTTTCTTTAGCCAGTAATCATATCTGCTTCAACTGCTTCAAAACCATTTACCAAACCACCTTTCCCATCATCTCTGTGTTCTTCAAATAGTTATTGTTACTTTTAGCTAATTTAGAATAGTTCTTCCCTCTGACTTTTTTCTAAAATCTTACCATCTTATGTTCATAATGCCCACTTTTTCCTAAAATATGAAGCCCTGTCACTTTATATTTGTCGGTCTTGAAATTCTACCTTATATGTATGTCCTTCCCTAGCTAACTAAAAAAGAAAGATGAAAATGGCCTTCGTTTCCCTAATGTAAGCCAATCCATTGAGTCTACATTCAAAATGTGTAGTATGTGCTTAATACCTGGGAATTTACACACATGTGTGAAGGCCAGTTCGTGAGTTTAAATCTCATTGGGATTGCAAAACAAATGCACGAGTGAAACAAATTTGTACCTATTTTAATGGGAGCCTGTTATGTAAGTAATGAGAATAAACATTGCACAATGAGAAACTATAAGCAGATACGAGAAAATAAACTTAGTTCGGGTTTTGGAAGTAGGTAGTGAGGACATTAGCCTGCTTGAAATAAAAAGTATGTTTTAGGAAAAATAGAAGATAATGATATATAACAAGGGACTAAACTAAGTTTAGTACATCGTCAAGTACTGGGGAGCCATCAAATGTTTTTAAACGAATTTAATCTGGCATTGCTGTACATGAACTGAAGAAAGCATCATAATTAAAGAGCCGAAAGAGTCCTTAGAGATCATTTAATCCAACTTCTATCAAACAGGCTCAGAAAGAGTAAGAGTATTTCTTAAGCAATTGACAGATTCTGAACAAGGCTAGGATTCTTTACTAATATTCTACTTGATTGGACATACCCATGAATAATCAATAATAGACAGTTGTCACATTGTACATAGTATACGAGGAGGGACCTGGAATTTATTTATAAAAAAGTGTGTATTCTTACATATTTAAACTTCAGTCACTTTTAAAGTACTCTCCATTTGATGCAGTGCATCTGTTGAGATGTTTTCTTCCACTGCTCAAAACAGTTTTTGAATACGACGATTTTTATCCCTTTATTGCTTCTGCTTGTTTTTTATCTCGCCTCTTTCACATTGGCAAAAAAATTCTCTTTGAGGACTTTTTTCATCTGGGAAAACAAAAAAAGAAAAAGTAACTTGGGGTGAGATCAGGTGGATACGGAGGGTGGGGCATGGGGGTCATGCCATTTTTTGATCAAAAACTGCTGAACACTCAGCGGTAGTGTGTGTAGATGCACTTGTAAATTACCCATCATGAAATGGGCAAACGTGTTCAAGAGTCTTCAAAAAAAAAAATCCATTGAAGCCAAATGCAGCATCTTACCCCAATGCCAGCTGGTACACTGATATTGATGGGTTCCCAGAACACTCATCTAGGAAGGGAAGCACGTACTACAAGGGACTCACTCTCCAGAAGATAATTCCAGTTTTTTGGGTTCCCCCCTTGTAACTGTAGCTCTTATTTATGTATAATACTTGTCAGTATATAACCATATCAATTTCAGTGTTACCTTAATTTCTAAATTCCATGGGCAAGAACTATGTCAGTTTATTTAATGATTCCACTAGATGTCACTATGTTTTCACAGAGAATGTTTGATAATTTTATGTGTGCTAATGATCAGAATTCTAGAATTCAGTATTTTAAAGTTTGTCTAGTTATCACACATATAATAAACCTAACAGAAATATGATATGTTTTAAAAAGTCTGTTCAAATATGATACGGGGTATATAACATTCAGAACCTATTTTCTTTTAAAATGGGGAAAAAGGACATCTCTCCAATGGTGGCCTTAAGTATTTAATACAGAGGTGTTTTTATTAGTTTAAAAAATGAGTCATAATAAATAAATCACATCATCATAGTAATTTTAATGGTAGTTATCTTATTACTAATATTTTATTAATTATTGAATACTTATTTAACAATCAAAATTTTTAAATAATACATTTTAAAATGTACTCAAAGACTTAATATTTTATTACAATGACTTCTAAAATTTTTGACTATAATAAATGCATGTTACAGTATGATTCATCACATATAACAAAATTTTTATGAAGCAATATTTATCCTCACTATATGAAAAGCCTCTGATATTTTGTACTTTATTGTTGCTTTTATAAAATGCTGGTAGCAAGCCACTGAATTCTTTGTGCTGATCAGCAGTTTTAAGAGCACTGCTTTGTTGGAGCTAGCTTAGGTTTTTGTTTTACTGTAGGAAAGTCTGTTATCAGCACTAAGCCTCAGTTTCCTCATTTATAAAGTAGAAGTTGCATTTAAGGTCTTAGTTTCCTTTAGTTCTAATGTTTTACAGTTCTTCATCAGTCGGCCACTATAGTGAAAGTTTAATAGATAAGGAAACATCTTATTTATAAAAATAAAAATTAAAATTATCAACAAGAGACAGTATAAGGGAAACTTAAACTATTTTGTCTTCATGGGGAAGTCTGTCTCATTTAAGAATTTAAACTAAAAGTTACTGATTTAAATGATTTTAACTCTTCAGTCTGTAAAAATGAAGACTGATGAAGCATTGGATCAAAGTTTATAAATTATGAAGAAAAACCAGGAATGCTTTATACTATGTCCAGTACAACCTGAAGTTGACATCTGCAGGAACGCATGATCTTACACACCATTTGGAAATAGAATACTGAATTTGACACAATTTGGTCTTTCTTACATTACTGTGAAAGCAAATATAAACTTATTCACCAGATTCTAAAATACTAAAGCCTATATTGTCTCTTCAAATGTCTACAATTGTTTTATACCATAGTAAGCTATCTTATTGATAAAAATGTAAAGTATATTTAAGAAACATTTAGACAAACTTACGAATTCTAGCTCCATATTTCTGTCAAGGCTTTGGAGTCATAAGGGCCCTAGAGGTTTTCTAGGCCCTCATTTTTATTATTAAGGTATGAAAAAAATACCTGGAGTATATCCTTAATGTCATGGAGAACAGTAGTGCTTCTCACAAAATGTCTCCTCATGCCCTATCAGAGACAGAAGATTGACCTAGATGGCCTGGGTCACGATGCAGTATGATGCTTCTCATGTTGTGAGTTAAAAATTTTTTACCACTTGGTGGCCAGAAACAGACCACATACAGTTTTGTTCCTCTGAGACAGTGTGCTCATTTAGGTAGTCATGTAGTTGCATTTATAAATTTTGTTCGGTTGACTGTAGGCTGACAGGTCTTTGAAGGAGGGAAGTTTCTTGAATTGTAACCTAAAAAATCAGGAGTTAAAACTAAGAAGGATGAATGTTGAAATCAAATTATGATTTAAAAGATCAAATGGGGTGAATGGTTATTAGTGCTGACAGAGCTAAAAGCGCCATCATGTGGCTCAGAATAGGGGATTTTCACACACACTTCTTGGCAATAAACATAGTGTAATCTCAGAGGTGCGGAAGCCAAAAACCTCTGCAGAACTTCTATAACCTCTTCCTGAACAGCCAACTCTGTTGCTTGTTATACAGAATAAAAACTTTCTAAAACAGGTTTGAGCATGTCTCAAATTATATTTGAAAAATTCCCACAACAAATGGCAATTGTAGCCTGCTGCTTCTGTTGGTTTTTATAT